TAATTATTATATATGGTTTGCTGTTACTTAATCATAAGGCCTAACAGACCAAAGATGATCTTCTAAATCAGATTATTTACTTAAAATGGTGTGCAAATGTTGTTAGTTACAATAAAACAGTTGTTAGAAGGAAAAAGTAAAAGTTAAGGGAACGACGCTGAAGAAAACGATGAAAAAATCATTATTTTTTATAAAAAAGCTTTTGTGGAGAAAAGCTTTTTGATTAAGAAGCTTTAAAAAGCTTTTTGATTGAACAACTCTTAACATCTTGATTGAAAAACTTTTTTATAGAAAAACTTTTTCTTACTCTCTTTATCCGTCTAACATTCCTTAAACAAGATCCATGGAATGGTTTTTGAACTAAACAGTTTCACTTTCCCTATCCAACTTCTTATCATACTTCCCTTAATTTAGATCTTACAGCACTCCAAAAGCACTCCATCAGCACACAATCTAGCACTCTAGTTAAGTGTAATAGATACCCATTCCACGCACACACATCACATCACAAATGCATTCGAACGATCATAACGCAATTGTATTTCAAATTATCTGAGATGTTCGACACATGCGTAGATTTTTTTGTAGCTCGTGTCTTAACTATTTCTTTATATAGTATGGCTTGGTTGGCACAACTTGTTCATACAGAATCAAATTACTTTTAAAGTTTATTTAAAAGAAATACAAAAAAACATGTTCCTTTAAATTCCATGGCCTAATGGTTTCTTCATGGGTGCTGGTTGGTCTTAACTGTTTGTTGGCTCTGCTGCTGTTGTGTTGTAGTTTAAAGGCGTGGCAAATATGTTTTAAGAATGCTGTTAACCATTTGTTTTCTGGGCTTCTCCAACTAACACAGTCAGCCATACCACTATAGTTAACGAAAAGTTCAGTCGTGCATTTCAAATTTCTATGCCATTATCTGTTGTTGTTTTAAAACACAAACAGTGGGGCGAATTTGTATAGTATTTTGATAAAATTTGTTAAGGCTAAAGAAGAGCTAAATTTAAGTTTTAAATTAGAGTTTTATAGTCATCTGTGTACAATTGTTAGACATTCTTTATTTGTTTTGTATTTCTTTATAAGCCAATTGGTCCTACTGTTTACTGCGTTTGTTGGTATCAATGTGAGGTTTGTGTCTTACAAAAGCCGCTAATACAAGTTGGCATAAAATAACATGCGTAACAGGATATTTGTGTTGAATGATGTTGATAGGGAGGGATAGTGTTGACTAGAATATGAGTGTTTTTGTTGAATAGAAAACAATAACAGCAAAAATAATGTCTAAAGAAACTTTTTGGAATTTAGGTAGATGAACCAAAAAACATTTAAAATTAAAAACCGGTTTTAAAGGTCATTGTCGGAATAGTTCTAGTTCAGTTTTAGTTCATTCTAGTTCGAGTTCAGTTCTAGTTCAGTTCAGTTCAGTTCAGTTCTAGTTCAGTTCTAGTTCAGTAGTTCAGTTCTAGTTCAGTTAGTTCTAGTTCAGTTCTAGTTCAGTTCTAGTTCGTTCTAGTTCAGTTCTAGTTCAGTTCTAGTTCAGTTCTAGTTCAGTTCTAGTTCAGTTCTAGTTCAGTTCTAGTTCAGTTCTAGTTCAGTTCTAGTTCAGTTCTAGTTCAGTTCTAGTTCAGTTCTAGTTCAGTTCTAGTTCAGTTTCTAGTTCAGTTCTAGTTCAGTTCTAGTTCAGTTCTAGTTCAGTTCTAGTTCAGTCTAGTTCAGTTTCTAGTTCAGTTCTAGTTCAGTTCTAGTTCAGTTCTAGTTCAGTTCTAGTTCAGTTCTAGTTCAGTTCTAGTTCAGTTCTAGTTCAGTTCTAGTTCAGTTCTAGTTCAGTTCTAGTTCAGTTCTAGTTCAGTTCTAGTTCAGTTCTAGTTCAGTTCTAGTTCAGTTCTAGTTCAGTTCTAGTTCAGTTCTAGTTCAGTTCTAGTTCAGTTCTAGTTCAGTTCTAGTTCAGTTCTAGTTCAGTTCTAGTTCAGTTCTAGTTCAGTTCTAGTTCAGTTCTAGTTCAGTTCTAGTTCAGTTCTAGTTCAGTTCTAGTTCAGTTCTAGTTCAGTTCTAGTTCAGTTCTAGTTCAGTTCTAGTTCAGTTCTAGTTCAGTTCTAGTTCAGTTCTAGTTCAGTTTAGTTCAGTTCTAGTTCAGTTCTAGTTCAGTTCTAGTTCAGTTCTAGTTCAGTTCTAGTTCAGTTCTAGTTCAGTTCTAGTTCAGTTCTAGTTAGTTCTTTCAGTTCTAGTTCAGTTCTAGTTCAGTTCTAGTTCAGTTCTAGTTCAGTTCTAGTTCAGTTCTAGTTCAGTTCTAGTTCAGTTCTAGTTCAGTTCTAGTTCAGTTCTAGTTCTACTTCAGTTCAGTTCTAGTTCAGTTCTAGTTCAGTTCTAGTTCAGTTCTAGTTCAGTTCTAGTTCAGTTCTAGTTGTTCAGTTCTAGTTCAGTTCTAGTTCAGTTCTAGTTCAGTTCTAGTTCAGTTCTAGTTCAGTTCTAGTTCAGTTCTAGTTCAGTTCTAGTTCAGTTCTAGTTCAGTTCTAGTTCAGTTCTAGTTCAGTTCTAGTTCAGTTCTAGTTCAGTTCTAGTTCAGTTCTAGTTCAGTTCTAGTTCAGTTCTAGTTCAGTTCTAGTTCAGTTCTAGTTCAGTTCTAGTTCAGTTCTAGTTCAGTTCTAGTTCAGTTCTAGTTCATTTAGTTCAGTTATAGTTCTGTTATAGTTCAGTTATAGTTCAGTTATAGTTCAGTTATAGTTCAGTTATAGTTCAGTTATAGTTCAGTTATAGTTCAGTTATAGTTCAGTTATAGTTCAGTTATAGTTTTAATCTACTCTATTTCTTTCGCAAAATTTGAAAATTAAATTTTAGTCCAATAGACCACCTTAGAAGCTTTCAAAGGCTATTAAAAATACTGAAATCTCTACATGTATTTTTTATATTTCAACTCAAATTTCACATATTTTTGCGCTAAAACTCAAAAAACATACTCGGTTATTCATTGAAACCAAAATGCAATGTCGGTTTGCTTTTTCATTTAGAAGCCACAACAACAACTATTTGATCATAATACCCCACCAGTATCATGTTGCATTACATTAACGTCCTCTGTACAACCAACGACTGGTTCTTTTTTTATTATTTCCATTTAATTTTTTTATATTTTCCATCTAAACCAACTTTTGATTGTCATGTCGTGTGGCATAAGCGTGACTTTAACTTTAGAATTGGCATGGATTAGTTGCGGCTTCATTATGCAAAACAAGTACTTCTAGCGTCTATTTATGAATAAAACTATAGAAGAACAAAAACATTTTCTATTGAAAAAGTACCTTACATTTCAGGGTAAAATAGTACCAAAGTAATCAACCAACCATCGAACAACAAAGCAACCAACCAGCCACACATGTTAATATGCAAGCGGATTTTTTTGTTTAATGTTTTTTTTTTTTTTAAGAAAAAAATCTTTATCTATTTGTTACTTGTAGTAGTATTTTATTAATAATTGTTTAATAAATGTTTATTGCGGAAATTACATGTGTTTTTTCTAAATGTTTTTCGTGTTAAAAATGTGTGACTGTGGCATGGCATTAGATTTGTTTGATAGAGACCGTGTTTGTGTGTTGTAAGCAACACTTGTGGTGGAGTGATGATGACATGTCTTGAGAGTTGAGTTTTTTCTATAGAAATCCTGTCTAGAAACGGAAATTATGGAATCGTACAAAGATGTGCAGGAATTTTAAGGGAAAAGTAAGTTAATGATTACCCAATAAGCAAATTGGTAGGGACTATAGTCTATTCTATAGTCCAGACTATAGTCTATTGTAGTCTATAGTATATAGTCTATAGTCCAGAATATAGTTTATTCTATAGTCCAGACTATAGTCTATTCCATAGACAAGACTATGGTCTTTTCTATAGTCCAAACTATAGCCTATTCTATCGACCAAACAATAGTCTAGTCTATAGTCCAGATTATAGTCTAGTCTACAGTCCAGACTATGGTCTATTCTTTAGTTCAGACTATAGTCTTTTCTATAGTTCAGACTATAGTCTATTCTATAGTCCAGACTATAGTCTATTCTATAGTCCAGACTATAGACTATTCTATAGTCCAGCCTATAGTCTATTCTATAGTCCAGACTATAGACTATTCTATAGTCCAGACTATAGACTATTCTATAGTCCAGACTATAGTCTATTCTATAGTCCAGACTATAGTCTATTCTATAGTCCAGACTATAGTCTATTCTATAGTCCAGACTATAGTCTATTCTATAGTCCAGACGATAGTATATTATTTAGTCCAGACTATAGTCTATTCTATAGTCCAGACGATAGTCTATTATTTAGTCCAGACTATAGTCTGTTCTATGGTCCAGACTATAGTCTATTCTATGGTCCAGACTATAGTCTATTCTATGGTCCAGACTATAGTCTATTCAATGATGCAGACTATAGTCTATTCTATGGTCCAGTATGGGGTCTATTCTATGGTCCAGTCTAAAGTCTGTTCTATAGTACAGACTATAGTATATTCTATAGTCCAGACTATAGTCTATTCTATAAGCCAAACTATAGTCTATCTTTTAATTCCTCAAAAGTCCTTCTTTTACCATAAATTCTATGGTCCAGTATGGGGTCTATTCTATGGTCCAGTCTAAAGTCTATTCTATAGTACAAACTATAGTATATTCTATAGTCCAGACTATAGTCTATTCTATAAGCCAAACTATAGTCTATCTTTTAATTCCTCAAAAATCCTTCTTTTCCCATAAAAGTACCGAAATTCCCCAAAATCCCTTTACATATAAGAAAACACCAGATATATATTTTTTTTTAATTTCCGAAATAATATTTAATTTTTATTAAATAACAACGATGAATAGAAATAATGAAGATGATGATCGCGATTTGAATAAAAGTAATTTCGAGATTGTGAGGGCCGGCTAATGGACGAATAAAAATTTGAGAGTAAATGTTTGTGCAGGTCGAAAAAAATAACTCTTAAAATTATATAGACTATTACGCTTAAATTACCAAGCTTGCAATTGAGCAGGAGCGGCAGCGGTAGCCAAGGCATATTGCTGTGGCAAGAAGGGAGAGCCGACGGTATAGGCAGCTTGGATAGGTTGCACAGTTTGATAATTGGCAGCGGCAACATAGGCGGCACTAAAAGGTTGTACATAACTGAAAGCAGCAGCGGGATAGTAGAGACCAGTAGCTGCTAAAGCAGGAGTGGCAGCAGTTTGATTGGCGGATTTCTTGCCATCACCCTTGGTGGTGGTTTCAATGTCCACAACAGTTTCAGAGGTTTTGGCATCTTCTTCTTCTCTTTCCTCACGGTTGTCGGTTAAGCGAGCAGGTTTTTGTTGAGATTCAGCTTGAGCTTGGCTTTCTTCTTGAGTTTGTTGTTGGCGAGGGGCAGAGTATAAAGCAGGCAGAGAGTTGGACAATTGTTGTTGTGATTGAGATTGAGCTTGGGATTGTGATGGTCTGTAGCCTTGTTGTTGAAGTTGTTGTTCCAAACGGGCGGCTTGTTGCAAGCGAGCTACCAAAAGTTGTCTTAGACGGGCAGAAGGTGTATTGTAGTTGTATTGAGGACGTTGTTGGGGTTCGGACAAAACATCAGAGCCAGATTGAACTTCTTGTTGTTCTTGTACATTAGGAGCTCCATAGAGTAATTCAGGACGTTGTTGAGGTTGTTGGGGTTCAGACAAAACATCGGAGCCACTGTTAAAACCATTGTTATTGTTGTTGTTTTGAGGTTGTTGAGGTTCAGCAAAGTTGTTGAAATTGTTTTGGTTATTTTGAGGTTGTTGATTGCCGCCAGAGAATTGAGATTGCTCCACAAATTCAGGTTGTTGGGGCTCAGCAAAGTTATTGAAACCATTGGAGTTTTGAGGTCTACTTTGTTGAGGGAAACGAGGCTGTTGGGGGAAACGAGGCTCAGGAGAACCATAAACCAATTGTGGTCTCTGAGGTCTTTGTTGAGGTTCACTCAAAACATCAAAACCACTGCTGTGCTGAGGTCTATTACCTTGTTGTTGGCCCAAAGGGAAAACAGGCTGTTCACGGGGCAAATTAAACTCGCGATTGGGACGATAACCGGCTGCTGGATAGGGAGTGGGACTAGACTCCAAACGCTGTAAACGTAAAGGTGAAACACGTTGACCGCTGTAGCGGCTATAACCCAAATGGGAAACATCAGCCTGTACGAATAAAGCACACGACAGGATAGCGAGAGATAACTTCAAAACGAACGCCATTTTGTTAGATTAAATCCAATCAACGTTTACAACGCGTTATGTAAAACTAATAATTTTTAACAAAATTACTTGGATTTTATACAAAACTTTTAATTTGTTCAAACTGTTATTAAAACAAAATCAAAAAGCTTTAGTCTAAAAAACAAAACAAATCAAAATTCCAAAAACTAAATAACAAAAAACTTTTGATGCGTATGCAAACTTAACTGAAAATTTAGAATTCAGGCTACGTTTGTATTTCAAACAGCCACCAACCAACAGTTGGACAATCAAACAAACAAACAAACAAACACACCAGTTGTCCACCTCATAGACCAATAATTTAATTATCATTCGAGTGTGCCAACCAACTCAAGATTTAATAACAAACACCAGACCTCTATGTTTTTAAATTATTGACATTGACCTCCTAACTGCTAGCAAATATTGAACGTTAGAGGGCGCTTTAATCTATCAAATGCCAACTTTTATTTTTATCAGTTAATGGAAATCAAACTTTAAGTTTGATTTGAAATTGATAGAAATTTCAAATTTATTTTTACATCTATTTACATCTACAAATTATTTTGAATCAAATCAATATTCCAAATTCGTTTTTTTTATTTGTTATTTCTCTTAAATTTTTTTTTTTTTTTGAAAAATTACACACAAATTCATGTGTGACTTTCTGGCATTTTGCCATTTTTATGAGATAATAACAATAAACAGTTGTTACGTTTTGTATTTGGTCTTACTTCATTCAGAAAAAACGCTAAACCAAAAAATTTTGTTTTAACAATTTTATCAATTTCGTACACGTTTTTGTCTGAGCTTACACTCATCATAATGTAGCGTTTGTCACATTTTTTTTTTTTTTTCAATTGAATGTTTGATTCACTAAGTGTCAGTTTGAATTATTCTCATAGGTTGCCATTAACCTGTTTAAGATATTGCCAAAATAAAAATAAATAAATTTGAAAAAAATCTATATAAAAGATATAAAAACGCCTGATTTTAGGTTTAATCCCAAGTTGAGACTATACCCTTAAGTCCAGAAAATATTAAACTCTATAGCCTAAACTATAGCCTAACTGTAGTCTACAGTATAGATTACTCTATAGTTCAGATTATAGACTGCTTTATAGTCCAGACTATAGACAACTCTATAGTCCTGACTATAGACTGCTCTATAGTCCAGACTATAGACTGCTCTATAGTCCAGACTATAGACTGCTCTATAGTCCAGACTATAGACTGCTATATAGTCCAGACTATAGACTGCTCTATAGTCCAGACTATAGACTGCTCTATAGTCCAGACTATAGACTGCTCTATAGTCCAGACTATAGGCTTCACTATAGTTCAGACTATGGACTACTCTAGAGCCCAGACTATACAATACTTTATAGTCCAGACTATAGACTACTCTATAGCCCAGACTATAAACTACTCAATAGTCCAGACTGTAATCTACTCTATAGTACAGACTATATACTACTCTATAGTCCAGACTATAGACTACTCTATAGTCCAGGCTATAGACTACTCTATAGTCCAGACTATAGACTGCTATATAGTCCAGACTATAGACTGCTCTATAATCCAGACTATAGACTGCTCTATAGTACAGACTATAGACTACTCTATAGTACAGACTATAGACTACTCTATAGTCCAGATTATAGACTGCTCTATAGTCCAGACTATAGACTACTCTATAGTCCAGACTATAGACTACTCTATAGTCCAGACTATAGACTACTCTATAGTCCAGACTATAGACTACTCTATAGTCCAGACTATAGACTGCTCTATAGTCCAGACTATAGACTGCTCTATAGTCCAAACTATAGACTACTCTATAGTCCAGACTATAGACTACTCTATAGTCCAGACTATAGACTACTCTATAGTCCAGACTATAGACTACTCTATAGTCCAGACTATAGACTACTCTATAGTCCAGACTATAGACTACTCTATAGTCCAGACTATAGACTACTCTATAGTCCAGACTATAAACTACTCTATAGTCCAGACTATAGACTACTCTATAGTCCAGACTATAGACTACTCTATAGTCCAGACTATAGACTACTCTATAGTCCAGACTATAGACTACTCTATAGTCCAGACTATAGACTACTCTATAGTCCAGACTATAGACTACTCTATAGTCCAGACTATAGACTACTCTATAGTCCAGACTATGGACTACTCTATAGTCCAGACTATGGACTACTCTATAGTCCAGACTATAGACTACTCTATAGTCCAGACTATAGACTACTCTATAGTCCAGACTATAGACTACTCTATAGTCCAGACTACAGACTACTCTATAGTCCAGACTATAGACTACTCTATAATCCAGACTATAGACTACTCTATAGTCCAGACTATAGACTACTCTATAGTCCAGACTATAGACTACTCTATAGTCCAGACTATAGACTACTCTACAGTCCAGACTATAGACTACTCTATAGTCCGGACTATAGTCAGCTCTGTAGTCCAGACTATAGTCAGCTCTGTAGTCCAGACTATAGACTACTTTATAGTTCAAACTATAGTCAGCTTTGTAGTCCGTACTATAGACAGCTCTATAGTCTAGACCGTAGACTACTCTATAGTCCATAATATAGACTGCTCTTTAAACGATAGCCCAAACTATAAACTACTCTAGAGTTAGTTTATAGTCCAGACTGTAGTATCTTATATAGTCCAAGCTATATAGTCTCTTCAATAGTCCATACAGTCCATAGTCCATATAGTCTCTTCTATAGTGCTGACTATAGTCTCTTCTATAGTCTAGACTATTGTAACTTCTATAGTCCAGACTTAAGTAACTTCTATAGTCCAGACTATATTCTCTTCAATAGTCGAGACTATAGTTAACTCTATTTTCAAGACTTTAGATCAGACTTCAGTCCCTTTGACATTTCATCTTCATCCATTTTTGTAATTGTTGTTAGCTGCTGTTGTTTTGTTGTTGTAGGTGTAATAATATTTCCAAAAAGAGAAAATTTCTGCTCAAACTAGTTTTCATTTTGTGTTTATTGTTGTTGTTAGTTGTAGTTGTTGTTATTTACACAAGTGCTTTACAGTAATTGTAATTATCGTGGCTATATGTAGCTGTTGTTGTTGTTAGTGTTTATTAAGAATGGTTTACTTTGTTTTTGTAAATTTATTATTGTGACTATTTGTAATGTTGTAGCTGTTACTCATTATATTGTTATTTGTTTGCAAGAAAACAAAAAGAAAGAAAACAATAACAACAAGAACAACAATATTTTTCTTTAATGTTTTAGTTGAATGCCTTAAAAGAAAGACATTGTTGTTGTTGTTGTTCTGTTGTTTTCTTCTTCTTTTTTCTCTATATTTGTCGTTTATTGTTGAGGTGGGTCGTGGTTAGTTCGCGTCTCGTCGTTGTTGATAGTACATATATTATTTTATTATTGTTGTTGTTGTTGTTTTTCAATGTATTTGCAATTGTTTTGTTTTTTTTTCTTTCATTTTTTGTCTTTGTCTTCCTCCCTTTGACTTTGTTTGCTCTATTGAAGTATTTGTTGTTTATTTTTTTTATAAAAATTTTGTATTGAAAAGTGGCTTCCTTTTAAATTTAAAAGAATATTTATTCTTTTATATTAAAAAACCAGTGACTCATTTTCTAGACATTATTTTTTTGCTTATTTTTAATTAAAATATATTTAATTAAAATTAAATTTTATTATTTATAGAAAATAGCCTTTAGTTTTTTTTGAATGCATGTGAATATTTAATTATTTGTTTTTATTGCTGATTTTAATTATTTATGTTTATTTTTTTGCTGTTGCTGCTGTTTGTTTACTAATTTGGAATAAATTATTCCATTAATATTATTATTGCAGTTAATTTGTTTCATGTTAAACATTTTTAATTTTTTTTTTGCGAATTTTTTATTATTTAATCCCCAAAACCACGGATTAAATATTAATGATTTGTTTTGTAATAAAGAATTATTAAAAACCCACAAAATCCAAATGAATTAGCAATTGGATTATTAATTAAAGAAATTATAGACTAGACTATAGACTAGACTATAGACTAGACTATAGACTAGACTATAGACTAGACTATAGACTAGACTATAGACTAGACTATAGACTAGACTATAGACTAGACTATAGACTAGACTATAGACTAGACTATAGACTAGACTATAGACTAGACTATAGACTAGACTATAGACTAGACTATAGACTAGACTATAGACTAGACTATAGACTAGACTATAGACTAGACTATAGACTAGACTATAGACTAGACTATAGACTAGACTATAGACTAGACTATAGACTAGACTATAGACTAGACTATAGACTAGACTATAGACTAGACTATAGACTAGACTATAGACTAGACTATAGACTAGACTATAGACTAGACTATAGACTAGACTATAGACTAGACTATAGACTAGACTATAGACTAGACTATAGACTAGACTATAGACTACACTATAGACTAGACTATAGACTAGACTATAGACTAGACTAGACTATAGACTAGACCATAGACTAGACCATAGACTAGACTATAGACTAGACTATAGACTAGACTATAGACTAGACTATAGACTAGACTATAGACTAGACTATAGACTAGACTATAGACTAGACTAGACTAGACTAGACTATACTATAGACTAGACTATAGACTAGACTATAGACTAGACTATAGACTAGACTATAGACTAGACTATAGACTAGACTATAGGCTAGACTATAGACTATAGACTAGACTATAGACTAGACTATAGACTAGACTATAGACTAGACCATAGACTAGACTATAGACTAGACTATATACTAGACCATAGACTAGACTATAGACTAGACTATAGACTAGACTATAGACTAGACTATAGACTAGACTATAGACTAGACTATAGACTAGACTATAAACTAGACTATAGACTAGACTATAGACTAGACTATAGACTAGACTATAGACTAGACTATAGACTAGGACTATAGACT